TGCCCCACCCTGTAATAGTGACTATAAGGAAATACTAGCGCCCTATTATAGTCCCAGTATACCACTATTACAGGGTGGGGGCCCCTTCTAACCTGTGGGTAGTTCTCTGAAGGGTCCTTAAAGGGATCTATACGGGTTTCTACAGGGTTTCTATAAGGGTAGGCCACGAAGAGACCTGGTAGTAGAGTCGGTGGTATTTAGGGTGTAGGGTTTAGGGTTTCGGTCGAGCAGTCTCTAGTGGAGCTGGCGGTTTCGGATGTAGAACAAAAACCACCGGCCCAAAGAATCCCACCACGTTAAGGGTTCGTATTACTAACACACCTGATTTCAATTTCGCCGCCGGAAAAACTTCAGGTTACAGTAAACGTTTCTTGCTGATGCTGAAACCCTAGGGCCCAAGCCATAAGTCCGAAACCCTAAGATCGACATCCTATGGCCGAAACCATCAGACCGCCCCAACCGTAACAGCGAAACCCAAAGACTGAAACCCCTGAGGCCGAAATCCTAAGGCCGAAACCCGAAAGCGGAAATCCGGAAATGCGCCGTGCCTTGCCGACGAAGTTTCGTGCCTTGCCGGCGAATCTTCGTGCCTTGCTGACGAAGTTTCGGGCCTTGCGCCTTGCCGACGAAGGTTCGTGCGTTGCCGACGAAGATCATTCAGGTTTAAATGACTATGCGCGAGAGAGATTTAGGGGTTTTAGGTTTGGGGGCCATGAAAAGACTTAGACATCTTTTATTAACCTTTCTGTTGTCATCCTATTATAATTGAAAAAGCTAACCTTTTTTGTGCAGGGGTACTCAACCCAGGCGGAAGAGAGTCGGATGCTTGAAAAGACATTTAAAGCTGCAGCTGCTAGCTTGGGGTGCTTGGAAGGCCCTGCCCGGATCTGTCGCTCCAGAGTCTTGTGGTAGCCCGGCGTGACATGAACGCCACGTGGACTGAGCCCCTTCAACATTCAAGGGACACTAAGACGATGCATGTGGCTATGGCTCAATTTTGGCTCGAAAACAAAGTTTGAAAGCCCGGAGCACCCCCCTTGCAAGATGCAGGCCGAGAAGCAGATGGCCAAAGAAACGGCGGACGCGCAGAAGCCTGGCGAAAAAGCTGCCAGCAAGAACGTTGAGGAAGCGACGGCAGACGAGGCAGCAGAGGAAGCGAAGCAGGCGGCGAAAGAGGAGAGATAGGGCCGCCGCCGGGGCTTGCCCGATCCGAGCCACTGGAAACCGGGTGTTGGCGACGGGCGATTGAAGGCTGGCTGCTGATGCAAGGTCGCGAGGAAGCGCTGCGTCGTGCGAGGGTGAAAGCTGCCAGTGATGCGTCTGGAAAACTTTGAAAGACTCGCACTGTACTGAAGCCTTGCCTAGCTCGAAGCCTTGTACTGAATTTGATTGGAGCTGTAAGTTCACCATGTTATTCCCGTCATCCCTGTATTGTCATTGAGGCGAACCTTAGTCGAAGTTGAAAACTCCAATGCGGGTCGCCAGACGCGCCAAGCGGGAGCCACAAAAAGACGACGCATCGCTGTATCCTAGGGGCTGAGTCGGTAACTTTAAACGCTTCGCGTTTTCAGACTCGGCCCGGCTCTAGTTGGGGGGGCCGCAGGGGGCCAGGGCGGGGGGGGGGTAGGGAAGGCTGTTTGGGCCAGCAGGCCCAAACTTTGCCAGGGGCTGTCGACCCGACATGCAAGAGAGAGGGGGGGCGGGTTGAGGGCGTGTGGTCACTGGGGAGGGCATTACGAGGTGGGGAAACAGGGAGTCGCTGTGGGAAACTTCTGAATGCTTTGGCCACGAGGCGTGCTTCGGCCACGATGCGAATTTTGGTCTTCGGCCCCGAAGCTATTTAGATTTCATCCGTATTTTATCCGTAGTTGTGCAGCTCAGGGCTCCCATGGGTAGGTGGTACCTCCTGTACAGCACACAGGCACCAGGTACCAAAACTCCCTCCCAGATTTACTGATTGCCAGAGTTTGCATTTTACAACGATGGTCCCAGTAGTCTTATCGATTATAAACCTTACGAGCTTATTCTCATCATGTCGGACCGTGTATTCGGTGTTTTTTTCGGGGTCTGAAGTGAGGCCGCTCCCGCAGTGCGAAGCGTGCAGGAAGCTTCTGACGCCAGGCCGGGAGTAACCGGGCGATAAGGGTTTTTAAATTTAGGTTTTTGAAGGGTTTCTTCGGGACTCATATAAGGTTTGACAGGATTGTATGTGGGGGATTCTTGAATTAGGTGCTTGATCTCAAGAAGCGGCCGTTCTAATTATTTTGCAGTGGATATGAGGGTCCACGAAGTTTAATGGAAGTTTCACGGCACATGTTCGTGGGTAGTGAAAAAGGTGGTTTGCACTTCTGTGGTTTCAGGTGACAATCAATACTACCTCTACTTATAACCTAAACCTTAAAATCCGAAAGCGTTAGTTGACCCCACTCACAACATTCTTTGAACCCGTTTTGGACCGAGCATATGGCTTTGGAGCTTGCAACCCAAGGCCCCAAGTTACGGTCATGGGGGACGTCCGCTTTTTAGAAGTGTACTTCAGGAACCTCTTTAGAGAGGAACCCCCTTACAGAGGATTTGTACCGTGTCCCTGCATAGTCTGGAATGCGTGATTCACCTTAGAGCGACCACAAATGCGTTGACACGGCCATTACGGCTTCATGGTTTGGGGCACTTCAAAGCGCATGTCCGAGAATCGGGACCGGTTAGCTTCCCTTCAGCCGAGCTGCAATGATGTTGCCACTTTTCGATTTGTGAGCGAGCGCGGCGGGTCATGTGAGATTCCTAGTGAATGATGCTTTGCGGGGCGGGCATGTGTGGTACTCGGCGTGGTGATAGTTTTGACAGTTTTGCCAGCGCCATAAACAGGGCAAGCTGTGCTTTCATGCGTGGAAGATGGCACGGTTTGCTTTGCCCAATGGGGCTCAAGGTCATGGCAGGGAGCATGAGTCGTTTTACCTGCCCGTTCCAGGCCTCGTGGTTCAAACCACGCCACAGGGCTGCATTGGTTCGACGGCCCTTGCTGTTACCGTAGGAGTGTAGGACGGAGGAACATGCAAGCATTCATGTCACTCCTCTTTTTGAGCTAAGGTACGACGGTAGACGGGTGACTGCAGACTTAGATGACAAACAGGAGCCTGAGCTGCAACGGTCTTCGAGATAGCAGTGGATGCTGAGGCTTGGGCAGTTTGCGCACTGTTTATCTGTTGACCGGCCAGGAGCGCAACAAGCGTCGTCAGCGGAAGTCGAAGCTAAAGGCAAAGGACAAGGAGGAGGCTCGAGCAGATAGGGGATTGTTTTGGGGAAGCTGTCCGTGCCAAAGCCATACACCCAGCAGTATCCAGGCTTTGCCGTGTGTGTCACACCATGCAGTGATTCCGGAAGCCCTGCTTTGCAAAGCATCTCGTGCCCAGGAGAAGAGGCCGCACCTGGGCTTCAAAATCTACGATAAGACTCACTGCCAAACACGGGCTTGAAACAAGACTTCTCTTTCTTTGGTTCTGTAGGAAACTCAAGAACCCCTTGTATACTTATTTCAGCAGCCCTGTGCTACCTTAATGAAGCCAGCGAGGCCAGTGAACCGCAAGCTGCTGCGAGCCGCAACGACGAAGATCTTCCAGGATCCGGCAACTGCGCCCGAGCCTCAGGGCCTACTTAGAGGATCATGGGACCTAGTGGGGTTTTAAATAAGGCAACTGTACTTATAACTACTTATAACCCCAGTTAAGGTACTTATGACCTTACTTATAATTAATCTTACTATGTCCCATGTTCCTCCAAGTAGGGGCTTTTTGAAGTCGTTCAGCAGAGCTCGGAAGTCTGAAGTTGGCTTCAGGGCTACTGGTACACGGTCTAAGATTCTTACCCTGCATGGGGAGTCATGGGATCTATAGGGTTTAGGGTTTTTAGGGTTTACGGTTTAGGGTGCTGTAGTAGAGTAGAGAACCCTTAACCTTTTTGGGCAGTATAGTCCCTATGTAAACCCTACGTAACCAAAAAGGTTAGCCTTTAGTTCCCCATGATACCCGACAAGTAGGTGTTGTCTGTTGGCAACTTCGTCCGAATGCCTTCCATGCGTTTGCCTTTCTCTCCCTTTGTCGGTCCAGGTCGGTCCTTTTGTCAATGCTTTCATGTCTTGTTAGAGGCTGGATGCTAGGTCGTCAACCCATCCAGAAATGCGAACTAAGTAGTATCATTGAACACGTAGGTTTGTGGCGTGCATCACATCCGACCCTGAAGAGGGACTCGGGTGGCAACACGACCCCTGCGCAGATAGCCGGGATCGCGGGTACTTGGAAGTAGTACTATAAGTAAGGCACCTCTGGTATTGCTGTTTGTTTTCGTAAGCCTGAACGAGGCCATTAAGATATTTCAGTATTATAGCCCTATATTGAATACCGCACCTCATGCGTTGCCTGGCACTGCTAGACCCTCCGGATGCAACGGCAGAGAGAGAAGAGCGGTACTTCGACTAGAGCCTCCTTTGGGGTTTAGGGTTTAGGGGGTTTAAGGCTTGGACTCGGGAAGGCTCTGCCCTCAGTTGCTGCCCTTGCCGGCATACACTCTCAGTCCTTGCTCAAAGCGGGGGTTTAGGATAAAACCCTTTCTTCCAAGCTTCGTGCTGCAGGCAGTGGAGCCAAGAGGTTCTGGCATTGCTGCAAGGTGCCACTCCAAAAGGCGATGCCTGGCAGCACAAGTCAGCAATTTTCTCTGAGATACCGGCTTCGGGTTGGGCCCATCCATGCTTGGAGGCCCTTTTGACTTAGTAAGTAGGGTTAGTAAGGTGGGTTATGGGGATTATAATGGGGTTTCTAGGGGATACTAAGTAGACTTACTAAGTCAACAGGGCCTCCAAGTGATGGGCCCCGGAACTACATTTTTTACTTGATGTGTAGTTAGCATAGTAACATATACAGAATTGCCCACAGAATATTGGCGCTTCCGTTCGCACCTTGCGTTCGAGGGTTTGCACAGGCTGGGGCGACAGGAAGGATGCAGGAGGCATGCGACAGGCATCAGCTTTGCAAGTGAAGCATCTGCAAGTTGAGCCTGTAGCTACCCTATTTCCAGCCTTAAAGTACACAGCACCCAAACTCCCTAGGCACGAACTGGCAATCACTTTAACCCCAGACCCCCCAAAACCCCCCTTAGTTATTTCTTGACCACATCAAACTATAACCTACTGGTACTAAACTAGTACATGCCCTATATAATTGTGTCCATTATAGTAACCGTTCCTTATAGTAACCAGTTTAATAAAATGTTTTAGAAGGGGCCCCCACCCTGTAATAGTGGTATAATAGGAATATAATAGGGCCCTAATACAATCTTTATAGTCACTATTACAGGGTGGGGGCCCCTTCTAAAAATATGCTAAGATGTACTAATCCTCGGCCCTTCCTCCGAGGAGATGGAGCGATTTGCAGCGAAGGTGAAGGCACCTTGGCTGTCAGTTGGGGGTTTACTAAAGGGGCCTTCAGAATCACCTATACTACTTTGGAGCTTCCTAAAAGGGGCCTTGATACTTACATTACCCATACTAATGTATAGTATAACGGGCCCCGAAACCCTATTTAATAAGACCCCTACATTAGTAAGGGCGGAGGTAGGGTTTCCCAGGAATCGAGGGAGTTGTTCTCGGTTTCTGCAGGGTTCCTTCATGGTTGTTAGAGGTTTTCATAGATTTCTCTACAAGGTACTGGTTGTTTTCACAAGCTGCTGCCGGGTCACAGAACAAGGGCTTTCAGGACACTCAGGGTTTACATAAGACATTTTAAGACACGGAGAACTCCCCATAAAGGCTATCTCATGCCACTACGTGTTCCATGTTGATGCCGTATTGAACGGCTCCATTTGGCGCGATCTTGTCAGTCTGCAACCAGATGCTGAGTTTGTTCAAGTTATCACGTTCACTTCTCGTTTATGGGCACAGCTGTTACTATGTCACTGTGAAAAAATACTGGTGTTCATATTACCATTGGTTTAGCAAGTATGTGTGTTCGTTGCCGGTCTCTGCGGGGATATTCCTGGACGGTTCTACGTGTACTTGGGTCAGGGACGAGAGAGCATGTCGGCAATCAGAACCGGTGCCCCCTTGTGACTCTTGTGTCCATATGGGTAGTTCTCTAAATTCGTGGTCCCTGTTTAGGTACCCATACTAGCACGGCACGGTGATAAAAAGGGCCCTATTTCGGAAGTTCCTGAAGATCGAAACTCCGAGGAGGTGGACGAGAAGCTGAAAGAGCTGGAGGCATCCAACTTCTGGGGCTTCCTCAGCTGATGATCATTGTTGGGCCTAGGGTTTAGGGTTAGGGTTTACGGCGTAGGGTTTGGGGTTTAGGGTTCAGGTTGTAGGGTTCAGGGTTTGGGTTTAGAGTTGAGGGGCAAAAATATTGGATGTTAACACCGCGCCACGGCGCGAGCCGCGAAACCGCGGTGCTCGCACATGCCCTGCGAGCCGCGTGCCATCACTCCCCAAATCCCGGGCGCAGCAATGGTTAAGACGAAGAGTAACTGCAGTAGTGTAAAAAGGACTGGTGGGAAAGAATCATCATCGTCATGGCAATAATGACAACAAAACTGAAACTCACAGCAATCATGCTCGTAATCGTACGAATTCCGGATGCCCGAATTCTTCAAGATCCGGGTCCATGTGGTACACACGTGATTTTCGACATCTCTGCAAAGTCCGTCGCCCGTGATGTGGCCATAGCGACTGCGGCCTCAGGATGCAGCATCCACGACCTCCTCGCCAGACCTAGATCAAGACGCGTCTTAGATGCATCCTCGTTCTGCTCTCCTAGGTTTGACAGGCTTGTGCTTCGAGTCACACGGTCACCTAGACCTAGAGGGCAGCAAAGGGAGTGTATTCCAGCATCGGGTCTCCAGAGTTTTCCCCAGGATTTGGAAGATCTGCCGCCGCCACCGAGCAGCCTCAAGCGCAAGGCTCCACTGTGGGAGCGAGGGGGTGTGCAGGCAGTGCCTCTTGTGCAATCGGTTGTAGCAAACATTGCTGCCCCAGCTCCAAACTTAAACCCCAAACCCTAAACCCTATAGAGCCTAACTAACCCTTGATATTACGGGAGCTAAGGAGCCAGGGATGATGATAACCCCTATTAGATAAGGAGCTAAAGAGCCAGAGGAACCCCCAAAACCACAGGTTGGCTAAACCCGAACCTAGTTGCTGGTGCCCCTGAGGAGAGCATCTCCATGATGCGGCGCTTCAGCCGACAAATCTCTGATGATGAACCTGAGATCGTGGCCATGCGACTAGGCGGGTCTGTGTGTCCCTCGCCTCCTGCGTGTAAATCGCGATGTTCCGGTCTTAGGTTTAGGGTTTAGGGGGCTGGAGTCTTGAGTAGAAGATAATAGGTTGGGACACGGAAGTGGGACGATTGGTGCTGGTGAGGCGCCAGCATTCTTGCTTCTACAGTCTTTGGCGAAAAATGGCACGAATGGCGGGAATGCCCATTGGTCTAAGGCTTGCTCAGTTCACGGTGAAGGGTGCGGCAAGGGAGGTTTCTTCAGGCCATGTGCAGTTCTGCGGGGATGGTCGGGCACATGGGCCTGAGACGGCCGTGACGCCGTGCATGAACGGGGCACAGCGTAACATTCAAAATGTAGCCCGGTTTGAGGGCAGTTCTTATCTACAGCCTTAAAGCCCCCAAAGCCCTTATAAACCCTGAACCCCTAAAGTCCGCATGCGGTTGCGAGAGTGTAAACCCCCAAAACCCTCTGGTAAGCTTGCGCGAGGCTCCAGCAAGCCCTATAGACCCTAAAAGCCCTAAAGTCGTGAACTTTAAATCCCAAACCCCTTCCTAAACCCCTAAACCCTTTTGCCAGGCTCCAGGAAGGCGGTCACGGCCACGGACTTCGACGCGCGAACTCAGAGTGTCTCGGCGCGGGAATCTTGCAGTTTGGGCTCTTGGAAAGGTGGTCTGACAGGGTTCGCCGCGGGTTCTATGGGATTTGGACCAAAGTGCTACTGTAGAGGATGGAAATATACCCTAATGTTTAAAAGGCATGCCGAGGCCGGATCGGCCGGCCCTCTTGGCCCAAGCCACTACATGAGACCGAACGACGTGCTATTCGCAGGGACGTAACTGGGAGAGTTGGGCGATCCATGTTGAATCCTCAAGTTGACCGGGCTGCTACCGTTCACATAGAGAAACCGCAGTTGTTGATTTGGCTAGATGTTGTGGAGGGAATACAGACTGGATGGCTCCCAAGGCAGTCTCTGGCAATACTTGCAACACTTCAGGATGCAGCGGTCAGTTTTTGCCACAGTGTTCACGGTCCCCGCTGCGTGCCACGAAGTTCTACTACCGTCCTTGCAATGTATGCATCTGACTTTCTTGCAGGAGTTTCATCTTGTACTGACACTTGACCTCAGCTTGACCTCGTCAGTAAGCATGGCATCGTAAGATCATGAACCGTAGCCAGTAGTGCTACGGCGGGTGGCACGATGCTGTCATTTTCTGTGACTTTTCACGACCGCATTCCTGAGTCCGGATGTACGAAATCGGTTTAGGAGTCAATTGTGATTTTAATGGTCATTCCGCCCATAAGGTAGGGCTTCAGGTTCCGCATGGTGGTGCACAAACTTTGCGTTTAGGCCTTTGGGATGCTTTGCTACAGTAGGTGGTTTGAGCTAGTAGTTCAGGGTTTTTGTCGTAAGGGGAGGTGTAACCGACCTGAGTTCCAACCTTGAATGGCCCCTGAGCCCTATGCCCAAAGTCCTCGAATCCAAAACCTTAGGGTCTTGTCGGGGTTTTGTCAGAGTTCGCTAATAAGGGCTGAGTTGTTTTACTAAGGGCGGCTGAATCACCAGCAACAGTATGCCTCGGTGTTCCCGCAGACACAGGTCTAGGAAACCACCCTCCAGAAAGCCTTTTCGCATTGTTCATGCTCCTACGGTTGATGATATAAATCCTGCATTACTCTTAATAAGGAATATACCATAATTCCCATAGTTTAGGGTCCTTAAGGTAATGCAGGATATATATCATCAACCGTATGTTAGGATTGTCCATGCTTGGGTTGAGTCCATGCTTGGGCTCTATGGTTGACAGCCTGGGTTCAAAGATGTTCAAAGGATCTACGACGGAGGGTTTGGGAGTTCAGGTCGGAGGTTAAGATCTGAGCATTTGAAAGCGCCTAGGGGCTGAAAACGGGGCACTCCTCTGTCTAGGCGTTTGAATTTTGGTCTCGAGATTTCGATGTCTAGTGCAGTAGCCTCAGTAACAGGTCTGGCGACTGCTATGCATTCCCAGCAGAATACACTCCCATATCCCTAAAAATATAAGTTGTTTTAGAAGATGTTCTCAGTCTTTCAAGCCCTCCCGTACTATCAGATTCCTAAGGCGAATCCCGGGATTCGCGGATGTCCTCCAAAGCTGCGACCAACGCGCCCAAAGCAGACGTGCCTTTGCAGAAAGGGTTGCAAGAGATGCTTTAGGCGTAAAGTCGGGTCTCTGTACTTGAGGTACCTGTTTGCCTGCTTTATGCGGACTAGACTCTGACTAGACTCACCTACAGTCTCCATTGTAGTTCCTTTTTTTGGTTTAACCAGCTATGTATTAAGGATCCCTATAAGGTAACCCAAAAAAGGAACTACAATGGAGACTATAGGCAGCTGATGTAAAAAGGAATTCAGCCCCGAGTTGCAACGTGAACGATTCCGGTTTAGTGTTTAGGGTTTAGGGTTTAGGGCAATGATCAATTGGGACCTTTATGCCACTGAGCCCCTTCGAACGGCACCTCCGGTCATGCGAATTCCTTCATGCTAGCTACAGCTACATGCTACACATTCCCTGCAGAGAAACCGAGGGGTCATGATGAGTTTATGCTTCTTATTCCACAGGTTTACCGTCAGCACATACTATTGGGCAAGGTAGCAATAGGACCACAACTGGCAGCTCAGATTCGGTGGTCACCATCTTGACAGCATCTCCGAAACCAGACCCTCAACCCTCAACCCCTCGGCTTTAGAATAGGGACCTTATAAATACATAGTATTTAAAATAAGGGTTTGGGAGAATTTGCCTTAAACATAGTAGGGAACCCCCACAATAGTATTGGTAATTATTTAGGCCCCATATATTGGTGTTTTCTTGGAAACATGACTCCATCCTACCTCAAAGTCAGGATAGCCAACGGCACCCACACCTAAACTCAGAGACCGCGATCTGGTTCTGTTTCGGATCATGCCGATTGCATTGAAGCCTGCTTTGCTGAATCCTGAACCTAAACCTAAAGCGCAAAGCCAAAAACCTACAACGATCGTTAGGTCTTGTGACGGGTGGCGTCAGCAGTCGCAAGAAGGTGCTAAAACAAACCTACAATACCTACAACGAACGTGTGGAGCAGCCGGTCGGCAATGAGGCAGAGCTCGCAGCACGCCGCCCTTCCTTGACGAAAGAGCTGGACTCCGGGTCAGACAAGCTTTAGGGTTTAGGGGTTTGGGGGTTGGGGGTTTAGGGTTTAGGGGTTGGGTCTAGGGTTTAGGGTTTTGCAAAGGCTAGGTCAGGTGTTGTATAGGCGGTTCGTGATATGCCTTACTAGCCCAGCGACAGTACAAGCCATGCAATCAGGCCGATTTTAAGCGCAGATTTCGGAATGTTGGGGAGAAGGAGGAACCACCCGTATCAGAGAGCAGATGCAGCGAAGTCGGCGCGCTTTGAATCCTGGGATCCAAGTGCCCGTTTGCTCGCAGGACCAGCTCATGGAAAACTTGAAGAAGGATCCCACCGAGGCCTGAGAAGAGGGTGTGAGGGTTTGAGGCTTACAGGCTGCGCGGTGTAGGATTCAGGGCCCGGTTCAGGAAGTCGATTTCCGGCTTCCTCCTGATATTCTGGCCTGCTTTTTTCGTGCCCTTGCATTGCGAGACACTTGATGATGGCACGGCAGAGAGAGAGGGAGAGAGAGAGCGAAATCTGGCACCGATAGCAGAGGAAACGGGCATTGGAAGGAAAGGGCTCAAAGGCCCGTGGGTCAGGAACGATGATCACGGCCAGACAGTTTCTCCTTCCTCCTCTCCCATTATCCTATCGGACCCTCAGGAAGCTAGAAAACCACAGGCGCCTGGCCGCGAACCCGGACCTCAAGCACGAATTCCCTGATCAAACTTATGGGCCGCTTTTGGGTCCCCTAGACTATAAGGAATATACTATAATATAGACCCGAAAGGAGGATCCTGATTAGAAGGACCCCCAAAATAAGGTACCCCTAATTCTCGGAAACCCTAAACCCCAAACCCTTCACCTTTTTGGAAGCCTCAAAGGATCCCTTTAAAGGTAACCCCCAATTCTCGGAAACTTCCCGACATGTCTGAAGGAGGGCTTCACCCAGTCGGAAGTCTCACGGCTCTACTCGGGCTTCCGGCCTCTTGACTTTGTCATGGTTGGGTTACATTTTACATCTTTCATGGGGTACTGAAACCCAAGAAGGAATAGAAGAATGTACGTTGTTAACCCTATCCCAACCATGAACTAGTTGGTGATATGGTGAGTTATTGGGTTTGCTGCCCCGGGCCCCGGGTGCTCTTTCCGTTTCTGTCTGATTTCGGTCTGTCTCTCTGTCAGCCTGTCTGTGTCTCGGTCCGTCCGCAAATGTGCATGTGTGTCTCTGTGAGCGTTTGTCAGTGCATGTCCGGCTTGGTGTTTTGCTTGGGAGGCTCGGAAGCATGGCGGGCTAGAGCTGTAAGTGCTTGAGTTGTCGGCCGCTGCTGGCAGATTGTTTGACACACTACCGGCCGAGACGTTCAGGGCTGGCTAGTTTTGACTCTCACTGAAGGGATCAGCTTGCTCGTTCTACCAAATCGCCGTACAACCTACCTTTTCGGTGGCTTTGTTGTTTGATCTTTCAAGGGGTTTTAAGCAAAGGGTCTAGAGTATAGGTGCCCTGGTGATAAGGCTAGAGTTGTGGTTGCAGTAGTGACTTCTTTGAAGAAGTTCCTTGAAGGTTCTGAACAGGTTCTACGAGGTTTTCTGCAGTTTTCTAGACGGTTTAGAAAGTTAAGAGTTATGTAAGCACCAAAGCACTGTTCAACTACAGCTGACTTTTCGAACCCCCACGACGCCCTGCAGTGTTCATACAAGGCGGTTCATGATGCCGGGAAGCATCGATGTCCACAAAGATGCCGCTTTGATGCATCAGAAGTGTGTCCTACTTGCGATCAGCCCTTCGCAGAATGTCAGGAGTCAGGATTAAGACTTCTTGGTGTTACGACTATTATTCTTGTTGTTACGCGTATACTATGACTATGACTACTATTATTGCTGTGACTAGTACTACTACCATTGAGCTCTGATAGGAACTTCTAATTTCGGCTTTCATCTCGCCTCCCAGTCCCCGTCCAGCCCCAAAAGCTGTCAACTTCAGGACATCTTCGAGCTGCTGACGTTTCTGGGTTGCGTCTTCCTGGATCGGGTGGAGGTCCGCGCGCTGATGGACGCTCGGTACCGACCATTCAGCAGGCGTTGTGTTCCAGTTTTCTTTCTTAGCTGGCCACTGCCTGGAGAGTACTTGCCCCGGAGCTGCCGTGCTCACGGCAAAATACGTATGCGGCGAGCTGCAAGGCTCAAAAGATACGGGAATCGCAGCCCACGTCCGGTCCCAAACCGAATTTCCGCTTTGAAGTTTTGGTGTACGGAAGCGGCACAGAGACCAAAGGTTCCAGTCACAAGTCCGAGCCCCTTAGACATGAACTCTAAGCCTTCCTCGCGGATGCACAGATAGAGTTTAGGGTTTATAGAGTTTAGGGTTTAAGTCAGTTTTGCATCCTGGCATATGCGTAGTCCAGGTGGAAAAGTCAGTTGCAAAGAGGTTTATGGGGGTTTAGGGTTGTGCGTCAGATTGCCTCGTGCCCGCATAGGACAAGACAACGAAATATGACTACATGGGCTTCGACGACTTCGAAAGCTTCATGGCCCCTCCGGAGCAAGGGTTACTGTAGGGGTCCAACATAGGACAGCAAGAATGCATGACAAAACCCACTTGTTCGCAGATCTGAGGGCAAATATGCACAGTATTGCCAAGAACGGCCGCTTGGCTTGCAGGTGGCAGGATCTGGAAGAAGACGGGAAAGTCGTCCGTGCTAGCTGTGCCACTCGTCCTGTCCTTTTCTTTGCCGGCCTTTCGCAATGACCGGCAGCGACAGACCAAAGTGCAGCAACGCGCGAGGGCGAGCATACGCTGAGCCCGTTGAAGAAGAGGCGGAAGCAAAGATCCGCCAGAAGTGTCGGAGGCAGTGATGCATGTTCCAGGCCAAGAAGAGCGAGAATCGTAACAAGTCAGCACTGTTAAAGCTTGGGGCGTCCGTACATCTGAGGTACAGGGCACCTTGGCATACAGATATGTGGTGGCTTGCAGGACTTTGATGTCTTTCCGCAGTGTGCTTCCATGGAAGACAAACTACACTACACTGTACTTTCTGTTGTGGTGCTGAACTACATGCACAGGCAATAGGCAAGAATGCCCCCCCCACTGAACCATATACCCTGAACTCTACCCATGTAGCGCGCAGTCGTACCGAGAGACCTCGTCTTGCTTGTCCGGGACCAAGGTTCAAAGGAGGGACCCTTAATGGGGACCCCTACCCTATAATGGGTATATAATGGCTATACTCAGGGTGTATACCTAGAAGTCTTTATTAAGGGTCCCTCCTTTTCCCCTTTGAAAGGTAATCTTCGATCGCTTCGACGAAGATGGATCCGGGACCATCTCAATCGAGGCCCTGTCTTACCTTTGGTTAGTAGGGAATCTATAGGGCTCCGTAAAGGGATCTATAGGGGTTCCTTATAATGGGATCTATAGGGGTAGTCTTACCTTTGGTTAGTAGGGACTGGTGGAATGGGGTACAGAAATAACTACTCTTACTACCATTCTTCCATTCCCTTCTCACCACAAAGGTAAGGCTACCCCTATAGATCCCATTATAAGGAACCCCTATAGATCCCTATAGATTCTACTAACCAGAGGTAAGTTGTAAGTTGTGCAGTCACTGCGTCCAGAGCGGCCTGAAATTCACACTCCCAGCATCTCCCAGCCTTACTATAGGGGGTCGTAATCACTACCTATACTCAAATTTATAGTGTAAGCTTGTGGTAGCTCATAAGCAGCTACGCTTTCCAAGGATGCAATAGACATCTTCAGCTTTGTTCGCCTCAGACGCATGTCCGATTTGCCCCAAAACCCCATTCTAGTTATTGAGGCTCCTATATTAGCCGCCTCAGCCCTTGCCGGCCTCCATGGTCAACGGCTCTTGTTTTCAGTTGGACTTCCTGTGCCGCATGCACACTGCAAGTATAAAGGTTTTGTCAAACCTCTCTAGGTTGGGCTTTTGCTTTCGGCCCCGTGCAAGCACATGTATATATGTATATACAAAAGATAGGAATAGAAAGATAAATAGATAAAGGATCTGTGTATTTCTATATCTAAATATACACAGATATAATGATTGAATCATTGCTTGATTGCTTGCCTGATTGCTTGATTGATCGATTGATTTGATTGATTGCTTGCTTGATTGATCAGTTGACCGGTTGATTTGATTGCTTGATTGATTTGATTGATTGATTGATTGGTTGATTGATTGATTGACTGATTGATTGATTGATTGGTTGGTTGGTTGATTGATTGATCACGTGGTGCGTTTCTGGTTAGCATTGTTGATTGTTCAGAAAGTTTTACTAGAACCTTAGTGCTTTACTGTGACTGTTGTGTTTACTGTCCTCTTGTTATGAATGTTCTCATTCGGTTGCTGCTGTTGTTGCTGTTGCTGCGATGGCTGTGGTTATTGTTCGCCTTGTTCTGCTTCTTGTGCTCGTTATCTAGGCATCGAGGAATTGCTCTGCTGGTTCTTGGTGGCGGTGTCGTCGTTGTTGTCGTTGTCGTCGTCCTCCTCCTCTTCGTCCTCCTCGCCGTCGTCTTCATCTGGTGGTGGTGGTGGTGGTGGTTGTTGTTGTGGCCGTGATCGTCGCGCTCGTCGTGGTTGTCGTTGTCATCGTGATTGTCTCGTTGCCGTTGTGGTCATGGTCCTGGTCGTGGTCGTCGTCGTCGTTGTTGTTGTTGTCGTCACTTCTTGTTGTTTTTGCTTGTTGTTTGCTTACATTCGTAAGAGTCGCCATTGCTACGGCGAGAGTTTTGTCGGCGTGTCACTAGCCGCTAGCGAATGTTGATTTGAATCAGGAGCTGAGGGAGATGCTTCACTACCTTGGCTTCATGCCGAACCGACGGATGATCCAGGCTTGGCCTAAGCTTAACCCTTTATACGGGCTTATATGGGCCAGGGAACTCAGCGTGCGTATACAAGTGGGGGGCCAGGTGTTCTTCGGTTCAGAAGTTGCTTCTTGAGGTGTTCACCCAAGTTTAGTGGTTTGCAAGCGAACCTCAACCCAGGAGATCTGGTGTTGAGGAATAACCTGTAGGAGCCCGGTTCCACATTGCACCAAAGTTCTGACCCAGAGCCTGGGCAGCCACTTGTCGCGGCTCTTTTGCCGCAGCTTCGCTGCGTCGGCTTGGTGTGATCTCGGCTTGAAGGCCCTCGAATACAAGGAAGGGCTGTGCAGACGAGCCCTAATGTATCTAAACTGTGGGCTTCTCGCCGTCTCTATCCGGGCACTCCCAGAGACGGAGTCAGACGACCGGAAACCGTGAGTCCGATCTTGAACCAAGCCTCTGAATCTCTGCTCGAATCTGCAGATGCTGGGGTGCTTACTGTAGCCCCCCTGCCGATGAAGGAAGCGCTTTCCGCCATCACCGCCGGCGGCAAGGATTGCCTCGTTTCCCGGCCCAGAGAGATTTCCATACAGATTCAGAGGGATGCTCCATGAGAGTTGCTGTGTCGAGATATACCTGGCGGCCGACCTATGCACATAGGGCATAGGCCTCGTCTGGAGTCGGGGTTGTGAGCTGTGAAGTCTTAGATGCGGGCGGCAACCCCGCACCGTCATACTTCGGGTCATAAGGCCCGCTCATGATACCGGTTCGGAAGTTGCGATCTTTGCCGGGTGCGGCACTGCAGACTCTAAGCCCGAAGCAGAGCTCTAGCTTTGGAAGCGCTCTCAGATGACATAGCTACAGGGGAAATTGATGGAAATTGGTTTCGAATTTTCAGGTTTCAGCGGCCGCCATCGGGCATGTTAGCACAGAGGCGACCTAAACATTCCAACTGCCACGTGCGTCGGAGATGCGATGCCTGAGGATTTCGATCAGCTTGTGCTGTTCCTGCTGGTCTATCGCCGGAGGGAAGGCTTCTGTCGTGCCGAGGAGGGGGCATGCCATGCCTTTCTGCAAGGAAACCGGGCCACGTCCCTATCTGCTGCAGCCGTCAGTTGTTACAAAGACCTCGTTCCTCCATGATGACGACATGCCTGTGATTCGTTCTGCGCCCTTTGATTCTGCCTCTGCTTAGCCATATGGGAGATTCCGAAGATTAGGGGCACTTCATTTTGGGGTCCTTATAATAAGGATCCTACTAATTTACGGGGCTATTTTAGGGTCCCCTACTTTCGGAACCGCCCCCCCCCCCCCCCCCCCCCCCACAATATCATCGTGACGAAGAGGTCGGCGAGCTGCAGCAGATTCACGCCTCTCAGCTTTTATTCCTCTTAAAGGGCACTCCAGAAAGTTGGAATACGGATGAATGGTAGGAACCCCTATAATTCACCTTAAAGGGGTTACGATAATGATATTCCAACTTTCTGGCTTTTACTATATTCCTCAGGTAACCACGCAGCCAGGAGAGCCAACCCTGTACTGAGAAAGGACATCGTCATCATCACTGTCAGAAGCAAGATGTCATTGTGGTGCCGGTTGTTAATGCCAGCAAGAATTAGAGAGGGCTAGAACAGAAAGAACAAGAAGCCAACACCACGATGGAAGAAAGCGACAGCCTGCGGAGCACTAATATAGGGGACTTCATAATTGCCTATGCTATTTTTGGTGTTCCTCATGATAGTTGCAGTACAATCTACTCCAAAACCCTATTCTGATTATTAGGGCCCCTATACTAAGCCCTTATACTACTCCTTATAGTAGCCCTTATAGATCCTTTTTTCAAGAACCCTTCAAAAGAAACCCTATTCTAATCATTAAGGCCCCGATATCACACAGCCCCGATCCGAAGGCTCTGTACAGCGACGGGGATCCTCCACTGATGCCCGTGTCGATGCTGGGTGTCTTGGTCCTAAACCCAAAACCTTAAACCCTAAACCTGAAACCCTAAACCCTAAACCCATGGCAGGGCGATGGCAATCACCCTCACTGTGCCACTTCTACCAAAGTAGAACCCCTGATACAAGCCCTATGATACTTGGAGGATCATGGGACTTGGTAAGTAAGGTTATCAGTACTTTAGTTGGGGTTAGAAATAGTTCTAAGATGTTCTAAGTATACTGACCTTATTCATATCCTTAGTTACTAAGTCCCATGATCCTCCAAGTACGAAGCGTGCACAGTAGAAAAGACGCTCTGAGGTGCTGCGCTCAAGCAGGCCTTTGGCCGACAGGCCCGACCCGGTCTGGGTTTCCGCGGCACAGGGTCTCTGCAAAGTCTAGAAAGCTTGGGATTTGAAAGTTTATAGGGCTGTGGCCTTATGTTGGTTCAGGTGGTTGGGCAGACGCGAAAAGGAGCTCAAACAAGTTTATGGGGCTTGCAGGTTTATGGCGTTTAGGGCTCAGGTTTCTGTGGGGTCTTGGGCACTGGTGTTGGGCTTTGGGGAGCTCTTGCCTTGCCAAAGAAGCCATAGCCGTCCCTAGAATCCTAGAATGACGACATCTAAATTCTAAGATGCCGAGCTGGGTGCATTGCCTTGATACCTGCGCAGGTGCATGACTTTGCGGCCAAAGTGCAAGAGCAGCTGCAGAAAGGCATCTTGCCATGCAGAACAGCTTGCTTTGGGTACTGGAGAAGTCGTCGTCGTGGTAGTGGTAGTCTGATGAGTCGCATGAAGCTTGCATTAGCCCTTTGCTTCACTACTTACTCAGCCACATACCCCTAAATAGAACCCTTATGCCTTATAGATCTTTTTAGCGATCCCTTGAAGCCCTTTAATGAACCCCCTTTACTTCACAGGACAGATCTACCGATCGTGTACTTGCTCGCCTGATCCGGCCGCGGGCTGAGCATTGACTTCACGCGTCAGCGTCCCCAGGATGCGAAGATGTCAGGTGCCAGCAAAGGCCCACTCGGACTCCCGCCTCATTCTGTTTTCTGTTGTCATAATCAAAACCCTTACAGGAGCGTTTTGAAGGAATTATTGAGCCCCCTGTCAGAGTCAAGGGAAGCTTTCCCGAAGTAGATCGCCGACGCCAGTGCGAGGTCCCCGGAATCTCCCAAACCTGTAGCCTCGGAGTGGCCGACTCCCAGAGATCCCAATACCCCTTAATTAAGAAATATACCTTAAATTATAATACTATCCCTAATATGAATTAAGGTATATACTCCTGACTTAAGGGATATTGGGTTCCCTGCGCTCGCGACAGAGTTCGTTCCCTTGCCCTAAACTGTCGGAATCCTTGAGAGCGGGTTTAGGGGCTTAAAGGGAACTCCAGAAAGTTGGAATATGGATTAATGGTAGGATCCCCTATAATTTATCTTAAAGGGGTTACGATAATGATATTCCAACTTTCTGGCTTCTACTGTAGGGGTTTAGGGTTTACAGTAGAAGCCCAAAAGTTGGAAACCCAATAGCCTCAATCCTTAAGAGTAATGTAGAGGGAATCCCAGCACTATTTGGCTTTAATCCGGTTTCCAACTTTATGGGGCTTACTGTACAGTTATTCAGTGAATAACTCTAAAGGGACCCCTACCCTATAATGGGCTATATAATGGGTATATAATAGCTATATTAAGGGTACATACCTAGGGGTCCATATTAAGGGTCCCCCCTTTTAAACTCTAAACCCTGAGGCAGCTTCTCACTGTAGCTGAACCTGTGAACCCAGACCTCGTCTGGCTGAGTCCGAGTTGCGAGAGCCTACACCCTAAGCCCCTAAGCCTTAAACCCTAAATCTTTTCTTGCGAGTCGAAAAAAGCCGCTACACAACAAAAAAGCTTAAATCTTGTAATACTTCCAGGCTTGTCCGAGTGTAAATGTCAAAGAATCTTGTAACATAGGGGCCCAAATAATTACCCATCTTACTCCGGGAGTTCCGTATTATAACTATAGCAAAAGGGTACCCCCAACCCTATTCTAATTGTTCAGGCCCTTACACTAATCTTCTGGCACAAGGACTATGAGCCCGAGAAGCTACGCCTCTCTGACTTCCTGATCATCTGCCGGCATCTCATCTGCAGTGCTCAGAGTTTTAGGCATTTCGGTCAGAGCTTTGTTAGTGCTCAGAGTTTTTTAGTCATTTCGCGCATGGTTTTAGTCATGTCAGTGGTCAGAGTTTCAGGCATTTTAGGATTCCGTACCGACTCCTTTCGCGATGCGAACAGGGCTACTTTAAAGAAACTTAGGGTGTTAGGCTTTCGGGAGTTTACTTCAAGGCTCCTAGGCTTGACTCCTAGGTTTTCCCTATGTCAAGGGGGAGTACTGCACGTAACATTACGACATGAAATGTGGCAGCCGGCCATTGGAGCTGAGATTTGCGTGCAGCACGGCGCAAACGCCTACGGTACTGTTGTAGGATACTTCATAACTCATAACAGCAGCATCGAAGTTATGGTTCCAAAGCAGGAGTCCCAGACCCTTACACCCATGGCTTCAGGAATTGTCGCGAAGACATGCATAAAGAGATGGACATGATTTGGCCTCCCAGCTACGAGTCGGACTCGGAGGAGAAGTCAGCAACCCGGCGGCATCCATTGAACTTTGGTTCGTTTGTACATATGGGTGCATGTATGCATGTAAGTAGGCAGGTAGGTAGGTATGTAATTATGTATGTACGTCTGTGTGTGTATATACGTGTATGTGTGTGTGTCTGTTTTCAGGAAAACACATTTGACATGTTGTGTTTTGCTATGCTGTGCTGTGCTGTGCTTTGTTATGCAATGTAATGCTGTGCCGTGTTGTGCTTTGTTATGTTGCGAATGTTGCCAATCTTATGTTCGACTGTTGGGCTGTTCTGCTATGTATTGATGTTTTGCTGCGTTTGTTATGCTGTTGTAAGGGCCGGCATTAGTGGCATCACCTTGCTTTTCGCAAGATCCGTCCTTGAAGTCACCCGAAATCCCAAACTCCTAAACCCCACACTCAGTTCAGATGGATGGGCAGCCGTAAAAAGGGGGCTCAAAAAATGACCTACACTCAAATCGGCTTGCTGGCAGGAGGAGGACCGTGGCCTTGTCATCAAATGTAACCCACACGGCGAAGGCCTTGTGAGCCGTGGTCGAGTTGGGTGTCCAGATGCTCAGATGGTCGGATCCTTACAATAAGTATCCTACTATGTAGGGTACAATGCAATATATTCGGGTCCCCTATTAGCGGAAGCTCCCATACGGTTCAGTCTAGACCGACGCTCCTAATCTTCGCACTATTTGCCTTGGGCTTCTTGGTTCTGAGCTCCCGCAATCTGAACCAAAAGTCGTCAAGAGGTTCCTGAGACCATTTGGTGTAGCGTAGATGCTGTAGATACAACGAGCATACAATGATTAAAGCTCGGGATGGACCATGGTAGTGAATCCAAATGCTGGTAGGGTCTGAGCCAGGGACCATCAGCGACGAGCAGCTGCGTGCAGCACTCAAGAGAGCTTGAGCTGCAATGGAACTTCATCGTATCCGCGTTGCTGCTACGTCAACTCCTTCCCCCCACTCGGACTTGCGCAATGACGGCGTGACAGCTTCGGCGCCACTGATGACAACGACAGTTCCCCGCGATGCAAGCACAGATTCCCGAGTGGAATGAATGCCGAAATCCAGTCAGATTCCCTTGGCCTTGCTGTTTCTGATTTGGTAATTAGTTTCAGACCAGTACATGTTATGATTATCGATGCTGTGCTATAGCTGGCTGCTTGACGAGCCGACGATAGCCCCCACGCTTTGCAGGTATGGACTACGTGCCGCTGCCAGGTCGCAGTTGGCTCTGGCGCCCTACATGAGAGTTTCCGAAAATTAGGGGTACCATATTTTGGGATCCTTGAAGTAAGGGTCCTACTGGTTAGGGTACCCTATTTTCGGAAACTCCCACATAGGAAGGTGTATTCCTTCTGCCCAATGTCATGGTTGTCATTCCGGAGGAGTAGAGTAGTCTTGCGGAATATCTTCCAGCAACAGCGCGTGAGTTTGCCCCAGGTCGAGGTCTTTGGTGGGATCGGGTCTATCAGCCGACAGTTGTTTGAATTTCATCACCGGATGGTGCTGGACCGCCGAAAGGAGTGTCGTGAGCCTGCTTCAATGACCAAAAATTGAGAGAGTCGACCCGCGTTCACGCCCTAAACCCTTAAACACTTGAACCCTAAAACCCTGAAGCCCTAAACCCCTAAACCCCTAAACCCTAAAACCCTAAACCCGTTTAGGGCCTTAAACCCCAAAAAGAGACCCGACTCAAAGGTTGACGAAGGCCATGCTGGACGTCTATGTCCAGGTGATCGGAACTCCCATCCCACGCGTGGCCGGCCTGACACGAGGGGATGCGAGTTGGGAGTTTCCAAAGAAGAATCCTTGAGGGTTCAGGGGTCTTGGGTAGTCGCAATGCGTGGATGCACAAAAAAAAGGGGTTTAGGCGATGAATATGGGAAATTCGGAAAATGAAGGGTACCTGATTTTGGGGTCCTTATAATAGGGATCCTACTGGTTGGGGTGCTATGTTAGGGTCCCCTTATTTATGGAAACTCCCATATAGATGCTCATATTCCCTGGATTCGGGTTAAGGCTTTCATGCCAGTGCCACGGCTTGGTGGCTGCTGCAAAGACATATGGAATGGTCTTCTGCTCTCGTGTCGCATTCGTTGTGCATCGGGGTGTTGCGGATTTTGCTATCGGCACTGCTGTTGTTGGTTGTCGGCGGCGCTGATATCCTTGGCAGCCACTGTTTTCAGAACTGCCGTTCTTGAACTTCTTTTTTTCTTGTTCACACACTGCCTTCGCAGATGTGTCGTTTCTCGAGAGGTGCGCCGTAAATCAATACTTTTCTTGATGGGATTTGTTGCAGTTGCAGGCACAGCTCTTACCCCAGTTTGCCACGAGTGATTGATGCGTGCCTCGCCCAGGATCTCGACTATGATGCGTCTCGGGCAAGTAAATGCAAAGGCGCTTGATGATCTGGTGCTGCAGGGCAAGTCAACCCAACAAGTTGGGTTAGAGTTACTGTGATCAGGAGGGGTCGTGGGTTTCACAAGAGAAGTCAACCCTCAGCATTGGCACCGACTGTCACCTATTGTCTGGATATTTCGACTCACACAAAGGCTTCCATATCACTGGTTTTTCCTGTACATACATGTTGCCCTGCCCAGGAATTCTTTGACTTCGTGTGGATCTTCAGGCAGGGATGGAACACGGCGAAGGAAGAAGTTACTGTACTGTGCACCACAAATTTCGGCTTATAGGCGTCGTCGGTTTAGGTCCGTCCATTGACACTGAGACTGCAGACTCCACATGCACGAAACCCTAATCCTAAGTACAACAGCCCGAAACCTCCAGGGCTCACGCGACTGAATCCGCTCTGAAGCCTTTTGGCCGGGTTGCTGTGTTTGCATCGCAGTCGCGCAAAGACGGCTAAGAGTCTTTCCGATGTTCTCCGAACATCTTTGCGTAAACCCGCATGTGCAAACCGTGATCACGGAATCGAAGCTGGTCAGAACTTCCGAGCTAACAAGGCGCTGCTCCTTGATTCGAAAAGCATCATCTGGGCTGGCCACCAGGGGTTTCGGATGATCAGAGACGAGCACTCTTCGGAGACCTTCTAAATCGGAGATAAGTGGGGAGTCTGAGTACCCTAAATTTCCTAAAAGCCATAAACTCTGGAGGGCTAAACTATGAAGCACAAAGCCATAAACCCTCAACGCACTAACACCTTGAAGTCCTAAAACCCTAAACCCTGCGTGCCGCGGAGAAAGGGGTCAGTGCACTTTATTTAAACAAAAACCCTAAATCCTCAACCCTACCTCTCAGTCGGACTGGAGGAAGAACTGCGCCTTCTCCGGCGAAGAGCTGGAAGACATCCGCCAGTTGGCAGAAGGTTTCAGGAGGTTGTGGCCGTCACCGGTTACTGTTAGTTCTGTGAGTCTACTAGTCTTATTAGTATGGGTCGCATGGGTATTATTGTGTAGTACTTTTGCGATTAGCAAACAGTCTCTAGCTGGCATAGCCAAGGTCCCCTTGCAAAGGTTGGCTTGGTTAGGTGCTGATCGCACATCACAACAGGTAAAGGCAGCACGCGTTTTGGCATGCTTCAGTTTGTCCAGGTCCTGTGTGTCAGGTGCAGTCCTTTCAGGTACTTCTGAAGGAAAGTGCGATTTCCGGAATCTTGGAACCAGTCAGATTCATTTGTCGCCAAAAACTTTGACCATGTGCACAGTGTCTAGAGCAGTTCTAGAGTTTCCCTTTGCGTCGCGTCGATGCTGCGTGAGATGTGTGATGGAAACAGCTTGGCTGTTCTGCAAGACTCAGAGGCATGACTCAACAACTTTGGCGGCATCTTTCCTCACACTCTTCAGAAGCATGCTCAACGCAGTCAGGCGAAGCTTTCGGTTTTTTCCTCGCCTGCCAGCCTTGTCCGGTGTGTGCTTTATAGTGCCACAGCCTGCCTTCAAGACATGCTGGTTTCATCCTAAGCTACATACATGAGCACCCTCAGCTCAGCTGCAGGAATGCCCCCGAAGCCTTCCTTGGGGTTAAGCCGATTTGAGGCGGTTAGGTTAGGTCATTTGCTATCTTGCAAACCCAGGCGAATTCTTTGAGCGGAGCGATGTGGCTTGGCCCCAACATCCCTCCAACCATGCTGAGTCCAGGGCATCCTTGATATTCTGAGCTGGCCGTTGCATGAGAGGCAAACATAGAGATGCACTTGAAGCAGCCACAGTAAACATCCCGAAAGCCCGAGACTCCCACACAGACTTCAAACCCTTAAGACCCCCGCCTCCAACCACGCGGCAAACAAAAGAAAATGAGAGCCTGAGGCCTTTGATGCCCAAAGCCCCAGACCCGAAACTCTTAAGCCCAAGAATGGTTTGCAAGCCCCGTGCTTGACGCTCCAGACTGAGGCTCCGACAGTGTTAGGGTACAGGGTTTAGAGTTTGGGGTTTAGGGTTTAGGATGAGAGTCCGATAGTTTTAGGGTACAGGGTTTCCGGTTTAAGGTTTGCCTGTGTTCCCACCTTAGGCTCATGGGCCCAAGCTTGTTGCCATGGCTAGTGTGCCTCAGCCGTCGGGCGTAGGGACTGCATCCCAACCCTAGGTGGCACTGTGGGAAACTTTTTGAAACTTCCCTTATGGTCTTGTAGAGGTACACACTCACAAATACGTTTGGGAGCCCCCATCAACTACAACCCAGCAAAGCCCACCGCGGGGAGGATGGCTCCGGGGAGAACCCTAAACTCTATACACCCTATGAACCTTAGAAGCCCTAAACAACAAAGCCCGTGAAAGACCCCAAGGAGGATGGCTCGGGGGAGATTTGCACCACCGAGTTAGCCCAGATCTTTCGCTCCCTTGGCGCCTCGGCTCGGGCAGCGACAGCGGGGGCTGTTGCTGTTGTTGTCCTTGTCTTTTGCTGTGCTGTTTTTTTTTTGTGTTTGGTGATCTTCGGGCTTGTGGGCTTTCTGGGTTAGAGGGGTTTAAGTAGGGCTTCGGCTTCGGATCCAAATAGCGCACTTTGTGTTTGACAGCGTGGGATGGAGTAGTTCCAGCCGTGTTTTCATTCCTGATTCCTCAGCGCTGCGACAGGCAAATGTGCGGAGTTGCAAACTGTGACATAATCGCAGAGCTTTCGCATAGCGGTCGCACGTGGACCCTGGATCTCGGATATTCCATGCCTACCCAGAGGCTCCATAGTAGTCCTTTTTTGGGGATTACCTTATAGGATTCTATATACGAACCCCAAAAAGGAACTTACTGTGGAGCCTTAGGGTAATGATGCTCAGTTCCTGAACGGTTCAGCCTAGACAGACCGATAAGCGGTTTGTCCGACGACCAGGTTTAGGGTTTAGGGTTGAGGGTTTAGGTTTAGGGTTTTGGTTTAGGGTTTAGGGTTTAGGGCAGCAGCCGCGGACTTAAATCGCGGGATTCTGCTTATAAGAGCACTAAAAGAGCCTCTGACATGTTTAGGGCACGCTACTGCGCCTCCTTAAGAAGCTTGAACCCGGGCCCGGGCAGTGCAATCCCAAAGCGCGAGCCAGACCCTTCTGGCCTTCACACTTAAGGCTACAAGGCCTCCATGGAAGAGATCAGCGGACTCTTGGCGCTGTGTCGCGGGGTTTGTACCTTAGGTGGGGGACTTGAGAGGGTACCTCGTCGGTGTGACTCGCTTCTCAGGTGCCTCGCAGTTCAGTAGCAGGCCATGCCAGCCTGGGCGGTGAGTGGACCCTGCTTGGAGGATCATGGGACTTAGTAAGTGGGGTTACTAATAAGGCAACTATACTTATAGCTACTTATCCCCCCAGTTAAGGTACTTATAACCTTACTTACTAAGTCCCATGATCCTTTAAGTGGTCAGTTGAAGCAAGTCTTCCACATCGTGGCACCGCGAGGGAGGGTGGTTCCAAGCTGCACGGCGCTTGCCTGAAATTCTGTTCACCAAGGATTTCTCCTTGAAGTCGACTTTGACGAGCCGCTTCGCCCAATCCGGTGGAAACAGTTATCTGCTACCACACCCTTTATGCCCATTAGCAAGTCTGCAGTGGCCAATGTCATGCCACTTGACTCATATCTCGGTGGAGAGGATCTAGCCACGAATGCGCTACTACTTGTGGTCCCGATTTAATCTAGGCGCACTGCACCATGTGCCGATGTTGGTTTGACCTTTATCCCACGGCTTGTTGACGCGCTGAGCATCATGGTTGGCGCCCGATCTTCCTACTTTAAACACATGGACAATCTCCGACCATGATGCTGGCGTCATATTAGCGCTTACACTTTTTAAATATCACTTACAGTAGAAGCCAGAAAGTTGGAACATCACTATTCCCCTGCCCCTAAGCTAAAGTATAGGGAATCCCGGCACGAATCATCCTTAATCCATGTTCCAACTTTCTGGGATTCACTATACATTAACCTAAACCCTAAACCCTAAACCTACCTAAACCCTAAACCGTAAACCTACCTAAACCCTAAACCCTAAACCTACCTAAACCCTAAAGGGACCGAACGCAACGCCTTCTGGTCATGGCAAGCCCCCAAGAGAGCACGGGCAACGGGACCAGGAGTGGCTTCCTGAGCATGTCGGAGTTTGTGCGCTTTGGGCGGCACTTTAAGGGATCCTTGAAGGTATCTATATAGGGATCCTTAAGGGGATTTATAGGGATGCTTAGAGGGATCTATATTTAAAGCGTTTAGGGTTTAGGGTCTACTCCTGTATTTTGATAGTACCAGTACTCGGATCTTGTGTCTTAGTAAGTCCGGATATACATGAGGTAACTGTACTTATAATTACCTTGTGACCCCAGTTTGCGTGCTTATCACGTTACTTACTAGGTTCCATGATCCTCAGAGTATGAGTCTTCAAGAAACTATACAGACACTTATTAGTTTTTAGAATCGTAACATGGCGAGGATTATCCGGAGTAAGCAGAGAAAGGCTTCATGTCTTTGTCGCGCAGTGCTACAGGACTGCTAAATCCTCAAGCCCCCGAAAGTGTGAGAGTGCGAAACTAGCGTTCCAAGCACATCCCACGAAGCCAAGGACGCTGATGGGATACTTCCGCACACTGGACCCCACCGACTGTCTCAGGGTTCAGGGTGCCGGTTGATAGCAAGGGCCAGGCCGTCCTAGCAACGACTGGGGGATGCAAAGAATCGAGGGCCAGGCTTTAGTTTCGAAGTGCATCGAGGAGCAGACGGCAAAACTCGTAGAAGTTCTTGTGCAGACATGAGCCTTGGGAGTCGCGCGAATCGGCTTCGCGAGGGGTCCCAAGGGTCATAGATGTAAAACATGTAGTCGAGGCCCGAACTCGCCTTTTGACGCGCACTGCCTGCTACTGTTGATGATATAAATCTGCATTGTCTTAAGGACTATAAACTACGGGAGCTGTGGTATATTCCTTATTATATGGGTAATGCAGGAATTATATTATCAACCGTAGAACTAACGAAAGCAGCCTGTGTCGCTGCCGTGGTTCTTCGAGACTCCTAGGCGGCGGGAGATATCTTCCAGCCCAAACATGGAGCCGGATCGTTTCATCAACCAAGTTTCCAACCTCATGATGAATCCACAATCTTACCATTGGTTAGAAGGGAATGGAGGAATGGGGTATAATTATAACTACTATTACTACCATTCTTCCATTCCCTACTAACCAAAGGTAAGCAATTCCCAGTCAAAAGAGTCTAGCAATTCCCGGAAAGCACATAGCCGATAAAATCCTGAAAGCCAGAGCCTTCGAATTTAGGGCACCCAGCAAAAATCTTACTGCGGGAGAGTCAGGAGCTAAGAAAGATCCACGACGTCTTTGAGGAGACAGCTGTGGACGGCTCTCCGGATGTCCTAGCACGTTGCGTCGTGAGGGTTGCATAAAGGCGTAAAGCGGCCTCAACGCTTCCCGTCAAACTTACTAGATTGTACCATGTTGTATCATGTTGTGTTATGTTACATTATCTTGTGTGGTGCGGTTTCCTCGTATAGTACATACATTGTCATATTACGATGGTTGGTTTCAACCATGGCATGCTGTGCTACACTATGCTATACGATTTTGTACTGTATTATGTTACGGTATACTTTTTGTTTTCATTGTACGATGTGATACTATACTATACGCGACTGTGAAAACGTTTAGTATATTATATCATATTGTATCAATACACATACAGTTCTTACAAAAACCATACATCTGTCTTTCTGCCTGTCTGCCTGCCTGCCTGTCTCATTCAGTCTCAGTCTCAGTCTATGTGGAGGTACTTAGGCAGGTTGGCGAGTTTTTAGGTCCTGGTAGGTAGGGTTTAGGGTTTAGGGTTTAGCGGGTAGTAGGTACAAATAGGAATGACTCTTCGCAGTGTTTGTTCGTTGACTGAGGCTACCTCACGGGAAAGCAAATCGGAGCAGCGCTCCTTGGCAGCTGTCAGAAGTACCTGAAAGCCTAGGTTTAGTTTCTGACGTTCCCAGAGAGCCTACGTACCCTTTGACTGCAGAGTATCTTTCAAGTTTTTTAACGGGTGCAGGATTGGGCTCCCGCGGTTATGTTAGGACCCCAGCGGCCCAAAATCGCTTCAGTTTTGAAGGGTAAGTTCAGCGCAACGCCTGTCATTGGAAGATTAATCATGCTGGTATCCTTCAGAGTGCACAGGCATCCTGCATGTTTGCGAATGCTTCCTACTGCTTGGAGCTGACATCCACAGTGGTTCCTTTTTGGCATTACTTTATAGGATGCTAAATATGAGCCCCGTAAAGGAACTGCTGTGGAACCTGCAGGCAACTCCCTAAACCCTAAGCCATTTTGGGGTTTCCTTAACTATACTTATAGTATGATATACCCCAAAACCCTTTTCTATTAATAAGGCCCCTAATATAGAACTCTACGCTAGATCCCTTATAGAACCCTTTTTGAGGATCCTTTAAAAGGACACCTATTGCCCCTAGGAGAGCCGCAGAGCCTCAAGTTTCCCTTGTGTGCGAAGGTGCAAGTTGCTCGGGAAGCATACGCTGGACGTGCCCCCGGAAGAGGAGGACCATCTCAACTCCAGCCTAGTAGGGAATGGGGGAATGGATTATGGAGACTACTATTGGGGATTATAGTCTCAACTCGTGCTTGGACATCGGGAGCTTTGATACCTCTTAGTCAGCAAGTACTGAAGCCTGGACTGGCTTGGGAAATAACATAACGTAGAGAACTAGAATGCTAGACTCTACAATGGTATGTTAGGTCATTATCATTGTTGTGATTACTATGATAGTTATCATTATTATTGTCATTATTATTATTACTATTATTATTGCTATTATTATCATGTTATAGCTGGTGAAAGAAGGTTTGGGCGACAGCGGTTTGGGTTTTTCTTTTTTTTTTGAAGCCCCGCGGGGCCGAACTCAGAAGCCTGATGTGGGAATTGAGTATCATGAAAGGACCTCCTGACTCTAAAGTGGTAGTATACTAGGTAGGCCTTCGGCATTTTATATTTACCCTTATTGGGCTTAATAGGACCCTATTTACGAATATTCTTCAGAGGCTTTAAGAGGCCAAGCTAGTATAGCCCTAGGGAGCTAAGGACTCATGCATACATTAAAGAAACCATACGTTACAAGGCTTTTAGGCTATTTTGATCCCTAGGGTAGGGGCCTCAATGATTGCCAATACATTCCTAGGGTTCCTTGTTATGGTTTTAATATAATAGTTCGCGAAGCCCTACTCCAACTACATTATTTCTCTAGAACAGAGTCCTTTTTTCAGGTCCCCAAAACAGAACGACACCCTTATAAAAGGGACCCTAAGTTTGAGATCTACCGATACCCCCCAAATACCAAGATCACCATCAAGATCCAGTAAGAACCCATGGAGCTTGAATCAGGTTCCTGGCATTCAAGTCCATGCATAATATGTCCCCGCGCTACAGCAACAGAGGACGATGAGCTGGACTTTGAAGACTTCGTTGATTGGGTGGACGAGAGCAGGCCATGGCATCAGACAGATCGTGTCCTTTGCGCTTTTGTAGAAAGGGTTTTTGTGGTTGATTTTGGGGGTCTTTCCCATGCCAAAATTGTCATCGCGTAACTCAAGCTCTCGCGACCAGTTCGCCGAGGCACAAGACCATGATGCAGGAGCGGAAGCTGGCCGGCTTCGGGTACTGGAAGGCCTTCTTCTAGCGGGGAGGTTGCATCTTTCCCATCAGCCCACTTACCTTCAAACTGTATTCCCCGCATTAATTCTTGGATTTAACCCTTGTATATGTTGAAGGTTCCTTAAACTCATATTTTGAGTATAATGGGCCCGAAAACCCTATTCTAATTATTGAGACCCCTATACTAAACCGTATAATAGCCCTTATAGTACCTCTTATAAACCCCTTCAAAGGAACCCTCTTCTAATTATTCAGGCCCCTATCCTATATTGGAACCCTAAACCCCGAGCCCCTGGCAGGTTGAGCTCCTGCGCGAGTTGTCGCGGCCTTAGGGCCTTGCGGATGCGGAGGCTTTTCATCCTGCATGACTATACTAGTGTAATATACCCCAAAGCCCTATCTTACTTTAAAGCCTCAAAAGGAACCCTTTTAACTGTCTGGTGCTTACGGCTCCCTATAGTAGTCCCTATACAACCCCAACAGTAGTCCCAAGAATCCATTCCCCCGTTCCCTACTAAGAACCAGACAGCAGCTGGGAGTCTAGAAACCGGTGATCACCGGTGTCATGCGGGGGGAGAAATGCCCCTATATTCTAGTACCCTTACAGATCCCTTATAGTAGCCCTTATAGAGCCCGTTAAGGGGAACCCTGTTCGATTTATTGCAGCCAGCACGAAGTGAGAGCAGGTCGGTGGGGAGATTGAAGTCATAAGATCCAGAAGTTGTTGAGCGCAGTAGAGCATCAGGTTTGCAGAACTTTAGGGTTTAGAGGTTTGAGGGTTTAGGGTTTAGGAATTCCTAGCATATGCGTAGTCCAGGTGTAACAAGGGATTAGAGGTCATGAAATTGAAACACCAAAAGCATTGTCACTGTAGCATCCACCTGGGCACGGTCCCTCGTTCCCTTTCACTTCATCGGTCACTACGACTTCATCAAAATACCCTAAACCCTAATCAAAATACCAGGGGCCATGGTCGAGGAATCGGAGCTCTCGGATTTCATGTTTTTCCCCTGCATAGAGCTTGCACAAAGGTTCAAGGAGTTTGACAGAGACGAGAAAGGCTTCTTGGTGCCTCGGCTTACACACCGACATAGCCGCGACTATATATATATATATACATATACACACACGTATATATATATATATATATATATATATGTATATACACGCATACAGACATACATATGCACATACACACATAAACCTAGCATGAGCAATGTTCAGCGGTGTTCTGGAGATAGACTGTTGCTTCGCTGAAAATCAGCTCACTACGACTGTCGCCTGTGCACGGCCTTGTCATGCACATGTGTCGGCGGAGTGGAGTGCCATTTTTTGGCTGTTGCATCAATGTAAGTAGTCCAGTAGCACTGTTCACTGCATCGCCTTTGCCGCGAGAGTAGTCTAAGAGCAGAAGCGGTTGTCCAGCAGGGTTATTAGGTTAATCCTGCAAACAACATCTCTGAACGAACGGATTTGCAAGTGTGTGCTCGGTGAAGCAGAGATACAGGGAACTCCAGAAAGTTGGAATATGGATTAATTGTAGGATCCCCTATAATAACTTACCTTAAAAGGGTTACGCTAATGATATTCCAACTTTCTGGCTTCTACTTTAGAGAAAGAGAGAGGGGGGGCCTCGCCCCTCAGGGGGGTTCGCACAGACAGCGAAGCGAAAGAAAGAGACAAAGGCTGATTTTGGCTAACAGCCGAAAATGGCCTGCAGTTTCAGCTTTCAGTTCACTTCGGACGAAAGGTCGCGCCTTTGCACAGATGAAGGCCGTCCCCTTGATTGCGAAATCCCGAAACGTTTTCTTTTAAAGCCGCGTAAAAGGACAAGAGGAGGGAACAATCACGCATCTTTCGGATTCAACGCAGAGCTGAAACCCATGCAGACAATGCAAGCATCAGGACCAACAACCACAGATTACAATCGGACACTGCAGCTCCTACACCTGCTGCGGGGAAGATGACGGCCCCAACCTGGAAGCAACTGGAGAAACTTTGCCAAAGGCAAGCGCCACCCACAAAGCAGCAAAGAGATGACCACAGGTGGCACACATTCTGCTGATCCTTTCACCTCCAATCCAAGCTTGCAATGCACTTTGAAAGCGGTATCCCGTACATAACCCAAGGCCAGTAACCTCAATCACAAGACCGCTTTCCAGATCCCAGCGAGACCGACAACGGTCCTTTCAAAACAGCCTAAATCACTTGTGTTTCGAAGATGTGAGTGGCATTCATTGGCATCAAAGGAGCTCCATCCATTGCCACTCGGCTTTATAGAGTACAGAGGGTCTGCAACGAATTTGTAAGCTTTGGGTTCAGAGCAGCTGGTGTCAATGACATAATCCGTGATTTCTTCTGAGCATGCCTCTGCCTGTCGGTGCTGTGGCGTGCGCCTCACAGGAATGGGGGGAACCTCATATAGTACCCCAGGCCCTAAATAGTAGGATCCTTACTGTAAGGATCCACCAAAATATAAGGGTAGCCCCTAATTTTCGGAAACTCACATTCACAGGACCAAGCTTCTGCAACATCTGGAATACGTCGAAGCTCCGCGCTCCAGAAATGAGCCCTGCTGCAAGGGTTTTGTCAGCTGGGGCAGGGCTGGGACGTTCAGGTTCGGCAGTTTCGTGACTTCCGTTATTGTGATATTATGTGCCCTGGCTGCGGTTCTGTTGGCCTGCAGCTTGCATGGGATGTGTCGGCATACTACTCTGGCCGGAGCTTTGCATGCATGGGATGACGGTGCACGATCTGGTGCGGGTCGGATGCCTTCGCTGCATGGGCATGAGCATTGAGCCCTTTTCTGTTGGCAGAACTCTGACCATTCTGGCTGAATTTTAAATGCTGTGGATGTTGTACTCATGACATGCCTGCGTCTCTTTTGTGCTAGCTGAATGTTGAGACTTGGTGCCAAGATCCCTTTAGTATATGTCGATGCGAAATCATGCATGGAGACATTGCAGCAGCGCGGCACGTACTGAATACACGAGAAGACTTGATATTTGTATGCTCGAGGAAGTTTGTTTGGTTGTGAAGCTTGAAGCGCGATCTTGCTGCATGTGGTGGCCTCCTGCACCAATTAAGTATATGGCTTGCAAGACTGTGGAATTTTGGATGAGGAGTTCGGGTGCGCTTTCTGTGCGAGCGCGTGTTTTTCGTATGTCTGACAGCAAGCAATTTAGCTTGCACGCTGCAAACTGGTTCTAGCCTGTTGTTGAGCCTTGTGGGAAGCAGATACCTGATGAAGCTTGTGCTTGAGCATATGGGGGTTGTTCTAAATTATGGTCCCTTTTGGGGTACCCTTTATAATAAGGACTATACTACTATAGGGCCCAAAAAGGGACCATAATTTAGAACAGCCCCCATATGACCCTGATCTCACCAGCCCGGCAGCAGACCAACTGTATAGGATGTGGGTGGCCATGCCCCATGGGTTTAGGGCGTTTGTCGCGCAGACGTCAATGAGGTAGGTGCCTATCGGTTCCCAGAGAGCCCAATACCCCTTAATTAAGGAATATGGCTTAAATTATATAGGGTTCATATTATGATTTAAGCCATATTCCTTAATTAAGGGGTATTGGGCTCTCTGGGTTGTCCCGTTGTGGGTTGTTGTTTGTACGATACGCTACCTCACTTGGCAGCCTCGTGCGGGGCGGAGCCGAATTCCGAGCCTGTACAGTTCTTGCTTTTTTTTGCTACCTGAAACTACCATAACCTACTTTGCCGTAGGTTCTAATTGTAATTAAGCCCTATCATTGGCTTTTTGGGACCCTGCAACATGAAAGGTAAGGCTTGTCCGAGTCAAAAAGCAACAAACCATCGGGCCCAGAGCTCAGGAGCAGCATTGGATCATTCGCCAAATCGAGTCTGCGAGGAAGCACGCGTACGAAGCGGGCGTCCGGGCAACTGGGCCGAATGGGCAGTCGTAGGGTAAAGCCGCATGTGCTGTGAACCATGAATGCATCAAGCAGCAGCCAGCAGGGTGGAACAAGATGATCCTGACAGAGCATCTCCTTAATCCATGTTCCAACGTTCTGGCGATCGCTGTGCTGTAAAGCCCAGCCCTGAAACCCGACAACACTGTACATTCAAGTCCCTGAACCCTAAACCCTGTGTTGTCATTTCTGTGTAAGCCTCACATGAGGCAGGCTGGCACACCCGAGGCTTCGCTAGGAGCTTTGGAGAAAGAGTCACTGCACATGCAAAAACCCGAAAACACTAGAATCCTTGAACTCGACTAAACCCCAAAGCCCGAAGTCTTTCAATGGCCTTAAACTCTGAACCAGCTTCGGGCCCATGCAACATGCGGGTTCTTCTTCTTAGTGCTGAGTGGGTGACCTTTAACCTTTTTGTGGCTTATATAATCCTACCATAATTGAAAAGCTTTACCTATTTTTTGGCTAGGAAACTCAGCCCATGAACCCCAATATAATGGACGTCAATAACTACCTATACTGTTTAAGGGGTTCCTCATTATACTTGTAGTATAATGGGCCCCAAAACCTTAGTCTAATCATTGAGGCCGCTATATTAAGCTGTAAAACCATGTTTCTAAACACCCCCTAAACACCCTCTTAACAAATACATTTTGGGGTTCCTTATTTATACTTACTCCTTATTTATGCTTACAGTCTAACATACTAAGGTTTAGGGTGTGGGACTTTAATAGAATAGAAGCTTTATTATATACTGTTACTGTACAGGGGGGGCAGTACCCAACTCATAGTCTAAGATACTAAGGTTTAGGGATTGGGTACCGTATTACATTATACTTAGCTAGGATGCCCAGTAGTACCCTTATTCCCGTTTAGTAGTCCTAGGTTCCTTAGTTAACGGTATACTCAATACTGGTTTCTTAGTTTCTGGATCCTTGGCAACAGGTCGGAGGGTCAGTTCTGGCAGCCAACAAGCCCGGGTTCAAAAAAAAAGAGGTATACTCAGCCCCTCAGTCTCTGCAACGAAGCCAGGAGTCGATGCTCGAGCAGGGCTTCAACGTCACCTTTTGGACCTTCGCAGCCTGGCCTGGAGGAAATGTGGGAGTTTCCGAAAAGAAAGGGGGTGTTGTAGGGTTCCTTTAAGGGGCTACTATAGGGGTACTAGAAGGGTTCCTTGAAAGGTCTCTACAAGGCTTTAGAGTTTCCGAAAAAGGGGGGACCTTTATTTTGGGATCCTGACTGACAAGGACCCTATGACCTAGGACGCTATATGAGCAGCCTGGCCTGGATAAGTTGCAGTAAGACGCCTCCGTGCCACCCTGTGCCAGTTTGGGAGTTCTTGCTTTAGGGTTTAGGAAACCCTAGACCCTAAACCCTAAATTGGGATTCAGGGGCTTGGGGTCCAAAGCTTCCTGCGGAACGACTGAAGCCCTCCTTCAAACACTTAAACCTTCAGCCCCTACCCATAGGCCCAATAGTAGTTCCTTTTTGGGATGACCTTACAGGATTCCACAAAAAGGAACTACTACGGGGCCTATGGGTAAACTCTAACTCCCAGATCCCCGGACCCCGTAAACCCCTACGTGGATGTTGAGGTGAAGTAGATGTTGCTCAGATCGCCTGTGTTGCAAGCCAATGAGGTTGCGCTGAGATGTCAAGTTTTTTCCAAAACCTCGTCTGATTTGGTCGAGCACGAGTGACAAAAAACCTTAAACCCTCAACCTCAAGAAAACCTCGAGAGACGCTCAGGTTCAGCTCTGCCGACTCTGTCAGTCTCAGCGGGAAAGGCGACCGGCCTTGGACCTTTTTTTTTTTTTTTTTTTTTTTTTTTGGGGGGGGGGGGGGGGGGGGTGTATTTAGGGTTTTCATGATTTCTAGGGCTTTTTAGGGGTTTAGGCTTTTTTGGATTTTTATGGTTTTCTCTAGGGGTTTAGGGATTTTAGGATTTTTTGGGCTTTTTTCGGTGTTTAGGGTGTAGGAGTCAGGGGTTTAGGCTTTAGGCGAGCGCAGTCCCAACTGGCGGCAGCGCGGCTAACTACCAGGCGTCCTTGCGTGCAAGCCTGCAGCAAAAGGAATCAGGGTTAGTGTCCTTGGCGCGGCCAGACTTCCGTCTTGAAGTTTCTTGTGGGCTCGTGGGCAGTTTCAATTGTATATTGCATATATTGCATATTCCATCATTAGAAATTCTGCTTATCACTGCTTATGAACTGTTTATGTATTATGTAATACAAACGGTCGAGTCTACTCTCTGTTACAATTAGAGTCACAGTTCAATTAGTCAAGGTCATGGTTCTTCCGCTATGTGTTGGCCGCGATTCTGAGTTCCTTCTCCGAAGTCCTCCAGGGCCATAGCAGAAGCAGTTTTAGGGTTTAGGGTGGGTACTGCCCAACCCTGTACCAGTTTATGTTAGGGGCCACGCTAAGGGCTGCATATTACGTATCATGTTATAGATATACTCCAACTGTTACAGAGAGGGGCCAAGGTTTAAGTTTTAGGGGGTCGGAGGTAGCCACGTGGTAGAAGGTACTCGTAGTGATTTCTAGAGGAGGAAGTACTAATGGTGCTCAGGACCACGCAACCAACTTCAACAGCAGATTCCCCAGATCCAGCTATCCATGCTCCGCAAGCTTCTTGAGGGTTCAGGGTTAAAGCTGTTTCCCAGACCCGGGAGGATCTAGAAAGTAGATCCCCAAATCTGGGGCCCTATACTACTAAGGGTGCTTTGTAGGAATCCCCATTAAGGGATCTACTTTTTGGATCGTTTTTGGGGGGCTAGTTAAACGGTTAAACCCTAAACCCTTAAAGCCTAAACCCCTAAGCCCTAAACCCTAAGCCCTAAACCCTAAAACCTAACCCTGAACCCCTAAACGGGGGCTTCGGCCACGCCGAGGCATGAAAGCAAGAGGACGACGGATCTGATGACGGAGCTGAAGTTCTCGAAGTTTGAGGTTTCTAGAGTTTCCTTAGGTTTTTTAGTTTTTTCATATAAAACCACACTAAAGCATATTTTTTATGGTTCTAACGGCGGTAGAGGTTGCAGGGTGTCGGGTTGCAGGTTGAGGCTTCGGGGTTCAGCGCTGGGCTTCGGGTGAAGGGTTCTGGGCAGGTGGGGGAGTCTGGTTGAAAAGGCTTCAGGGTTTAGGGTTTAGGTTTCTGGACAAGTCTGCCTTTCAGCGATTTCAAGCCCTCTCACTCTCAGTGATCTTGCGAGTCTTTGCGCTTGGGCATAGTTTGGAATTGGGGCTTAGTGTGCATGTTGCTGGGCCTACTCCAACAGCCGCAGATTGAAGTAGGAAGACACCAGAAACATGGACACGTCCTCCAGCGAAGTCCTGCCCTGGCATGGATGTCCCAACAGTAGTAACATGATAACACTACTACTGATAACAATAACCACAATAACGATAATAACAACAATAATTATAGCAACAATAATGTCAATAATCAGAATAATAATCATTGTCATCCCTTCCACGGCGACAGGTGGAGCAGTTCCGTCACGTCTTCGCGCAGTGGGCGAAGTGGCAGCCGGACGGCGAAGACTTGACGCGCGAGAGACCGGCCCGACCAGAGTTCAGTTCGAGGGAGGGTTTAGGGTTTTAGGGGTTCCTTCAAAGGGTGCTATAAGGGCTCCTTTAGGGGATCCAAAGGGTTTAGGGTAAAGGGGATTTAGGGTTTTAGGGTTCAGTGTTTTAGGGTTTTTAGGGTTTAGGGTTACAGTTTTACTCATTCCTTGCATTGTGGAAGTCAGTGGTCAGGCGATTGCACAAGTCCTGATGCAAAAAAAGGGTTAACCCTGGAAACCCCTAAACCGTCAGAGTTTGCGTGCTTCCGAGGTCCGAGCGTTTTGGAGTTCGAGGTTGGGGGATTCCTAGTTTAACCGTCTTTCGTTAGTTCTGCCAGCAATATTCTACCACAATCCTGCGTTCCCGTCACTATTCTACACCGTGCTGATCAATATGGGAACCTTGGAGGGGGCACTGCCAGGGAGTATCGATGTTCCTTCAGACCTTCCGCAAGAATCAAAGTGGTGCCATCTCATGCGACATTTCACTAGGTTGTCTTTTACAGCAGTCCTTCCGGCAGTGCAGCCAAGGATTGACACGGCGAAGGATACCCTGACACAGGCTTGGGCCAGGGGACACGACCATTGAGGCATGTAGATCCTGCACGAAACTACAATTCCTACGGCCTACGGCTTTCTCGTGATCACACGTGGGAGTTTCTGAAAATCAGGGGTACCTTATTTGGGGGGTCCTTATAATAGCGATCCTACTGGGTACTATATTCGCGCCCCCTATTTTCGGAAACTTCCACATGGATACCCCCAATCTTCAAGTTTCAGCACTCAAACCTCCAAGCACGGCAAGGTGTGCCTCAGGCCATGACCTGGCCAGTGTAACTTTTGGACATGTACACACATACAAACACACGTGTACAGATGTATATGTATGCACTACTTAAACGAATAGAACCAGAACAAGCCCAATGTATGTGTGTGTGTGTATCTATAAACATGCATACATACATATACGCAGATACGTACATATAGACATGTATTGGGTCGTATATGTACATGTATGTATCTGTGCACAGTCTTAGGCTCAGCAATAGGCGCAATTGAAATCGCACCATGAACAATCCTGAGCTGCAGAGTTGTGCGACAAACGTGCTACTGGTTGGACAAGCCTTGCAATTAGAACAATTTGCCCGTTGCGAATTTACTGGTGAGGCTTCTCACAGTCACATACCCTGCCTGGCGATTCATGCAGCAATGCAAGATGCAAAAATATGAGCATGCAATCAATTGCAACTTCAACAGCTACACCATGTGCCCACGGTCTCACCATAGCGCCAAGAGAGGCAGAAGACTATGCCAAACACCAGAAATGTATTATACTGTACATGTTTTGATGATAATCATTGTTGTCCTCGCCCCTTGTCTGGAGGATGCGCTCCACCGAAGTCCCAATAGTTAGAGCCCTCGAAAGGAGCAGGTCTTCCGCGTGTTCCGCTCTGCCGGTGCTTCACTCGCCCCCCGGCAACACTATAAGGCCTCATATTATTCATAGTACATGATTTTTAATATGTAGTATATTTTATATCACAAAAAGAACAACTAACTATATAGTATAATTTCTAGATTAGAGTTGACAGCAATTCAGCAGCTCCCGAGTTCCGCACGTTTCGAGTCTTGCAGGCTTGCAGCTTCAACTTGCTCAAAGTTGTCAGCTGCAACACATCAGTCAAAGTACTCTGGACCCCGAGACCTCGTCTGGCTTGCCCGAGTTGCGAGAGCGTAAGAGCCCTGACATGTCTTCGCCCGAAGCGTGTGATGTATGGGCTTAAATAATTACCTGTGCTATTTTGGGGGGTTCCTTATTATCATCATCATATAATGGGCCCCAACCCTATCCTAGTTATGAAGGCCCATAGACTAAACACTTGTACTACCCCTTATAGTATTATACTAACCCTTACAGATTCCTGTTAAGAACCCGTTAAAGGAACCCTATGCTAAGCGCTAGGGCCCCTATATTGCTGCACCGGAAGCTGCCAAATTTCAAACAACCACAGAGATCCGCGATTTCTGAAGTCCTACACTAGGTGGCAATTCGGGAAACCTTTTAGTTTCGCTTTATAGTTCCTTTAGAGGTACCTATTCATGTACAGTCTTCAGAGCCCCGAAACTGCAACCCAGTACTGTGCAGCCGTAGACTCAAGCTCTCAAAAGCCCGAACGGGTTACAATGTAGAAGACCCTATAGTGAGTCCCACAAAGTTGGAACGTGGATATAGCATGACTAATGCTGGGATCCCTTATACAATTTACCTTGAGGGTATGAGGATCATTATGTTCCAACTTTCTGGCTTCCACTAAAGAAGAGCCTGGGAGCTGTGGAAACCCTTATAGACCAGAAGCCATGTAAGTTAAACCCTAAACTCTAATAAACCCTAAACCCTAAGTCTCGTCTGGCATGTCCGAGTTGCGAGAGCGTAAAGTTGAGGCTGGCCATCGAATGAGCGTGCTGCTTTCGGCTTTGGAGCCCCTTCAGGAGGGCTTCCGCCCCTCGGAGCTTTCGGGGTTTCATGGGTCTTTCTGACTGCAGGGTTAGGGTTTACTGTATGACACCGGGAGAGGGGTGGCAAAGTAGTTATCGTGCAGGCTAAAGGCCAGGGTATCAGATGCCGATCCAGAATCTCGTGTTTTGCTGCTTATCTCATCAGGAACTAGAAACGTGGGGATTTCTGTGGGATATCCCAACCTTATGGCATTTGTTTTGGTGCGGCTTTGGGTTCTTAGCTCAGGCAGATTGAACTTCCACAATTTCCTGAAGCTCATGCGCTGCTCGGCTTCACTTGTTGGATCGTTGAGGTTGCAGCTGCGACAAGGCTTGAAAGAGCTTTGATCATGGTACGTTATAGAATATTCCAGTATATCATGTGTTGATGTGGTATAGTGTAGTATACAACAGAGACGGACACGGAGCCTTTTTGCGACGTGCTCGCAAGACTCGCCGTCACCTTCCTGCAAGCTCACGCCCAGAGTGGCTCGTGACTGGTGATTCAGCTTCGTCTCTCGTTCCGAGGTTGGGTAGTGGATACAGATTTTGCTGGGCTGGGCAGCAACATCATCGCCGCGAAGTGTCCCTCGTCCCAGTTTGCAAGGTGTAAAGCAGGTGTTTTTTTGGTGGGAATCTTGTCGTTGTTTTGACCTTAAGTTATTGTCTCCGTTGGGCCATATTTGCAGGCTCTGGGAGGGTCTTAGGCGAGACCTGCCGCCTGGAGCGGTGACAGCAGAGAGGTTTGTAGGACAAATCTGTTACCCCCAAACCCTAAAACCTAAACCCTGCCTGAAAGAGAGAATCTGAAAGACCAACCGTGCTTTCCCTTTCGATGATGTACTCGAAGGGAGAGGTGAACTTCGGCTACCGCACCACACAGACCCTGAAGAGTTACCCAGAGGCTCCATGGTAGTTCTTTTTTTTGGGATTACCTTATAGGATTCTATATATGAACCCCAAAAAGGAACTACTAGGGAGCCTTAGGGTACGGCCTCCGGATCTTCTAGGAGATGCGAGTTGAGCCCGCGTTGTAGAGCAGATGACTAACTATTGATATTTGGGGGAGCCAAGGAGCCAGGGATGATGATAACCCCTATTAGATGGGAGTTTGTGAAGATTGGAGGGTACCTGATTTTGGGGTCCTTATAATAAGGATCCTACTATTTAGGGCCCTAAATTAGGGTCCCCTGTTTGTCGGAAACTCCCAAATGAGGAGCTTAAGCCGCAAGGGAACCCCCAAAACCACTGGTTAGTTGATCCCAGGAACTCCATCACAGCGATGCCAGAGCCCCAGGCAAACCCGCCGGGCACCTCGCATTCGCAAGCTCGTAGACTTATTGTGAATCCCAGAAAGTTGGAGCGTGCATTTAGGATGATGAGTGTTGGGAGTCCCTATGGTTTACCTTGAGAGTAGAAAGCTAGTGATGTTCCAAGTTTCTGGCTTCTACTGTAGCCC